TCTGTCTCTCTCTGTCCCAAAAATAAATAAATAAAAAAAAAAAATGTTGGAGAAAAAAAAAATAAATAAACATTAAAAAATTTTTTTAATAAATTAAAAAAAAAGAAATGAAACAAATGTAAGAATAAAAGTCAGTGGGGGATGCCTGGGTGGCTCAGTCAGTTGAGTGCCCAACTCTTTTATCTCAGATCATCATCTCATGGTTCATGGGATCGAGCTCTGTGTCAGGCTCTGCAACAACAGTGCAGAGCCTGCTTGGGGTTCTCTTTCCCTCTCTCTCTTGCTGTCCCCCACTCACACTTGAACTCTCCCTCTTTCAAAATAAATAAACTTTAAGAAAAAAGAATAAAAGTCAGTGGTTCTGCGATCTTCACAACATGTTACCTCATCTGTGCTGATGAGAAGCTGGGACCAGCTATTCCACTCAGGGCATTTGTCTCTGTCTTCGAAGGTGACGTGCTCAGAGTTCCAGCAACAGTGTTCATGGTTAAACCAGAATCCCTCTGTGCATATGCCTTCTTTTAAGTCTGTCATCCAATGAGCAGAAATGTCTATCAAGCCAGCTAAGGAGCCTGATTTGAGGGGAGGGAAGGGAAGGCCAAAGTTGTCAGAGAAAACGAGGGAAAGGGCATCAAAATAATGGGTAATCATAAACTTTTCTGTTCCATTTGCAACCTCTTTCTGATGGTCTATTTGATTTCCACCTATCACCTCTAATAGACTTCACCTGTCATTACATGCCTGTTCAGGAGTGTACAAAACACAAAACACTGTCTGCATTAAACACCATGTCAGTAGAATTTCTATACATGGGGAACTTGAGGAGAGGCAAAGTGGTGGGGTGGGAGCAAGGAGCCTGAATATTTGCCTTTTAGTTGATTTACATGGCAAAGACTCTGCTTTGACTTACAGTTGATGGATACCGATCCATGAATACAGTCGAGTTTATTAAAGATCATTTTATTCTCACTATTATATGAGACTGAGAAAATGTGGATTGCCTGCATTGAAGAATATTATATTTATTTGACATGGTTGGGGGAAGGAAGGGAGCTGTTGAAGACTATGGGGAGAAGAACTCAGCCTTGTTAGCAATTTTACTCCATGGATGAGGGAATCTGAGCAGTGGCAGGAAGGCATTCTAGGCTAAGGGAACTGAATTGGTAAAAGCGTAGACTGCAATGCACGTGGAAAATTAGATGAAGCTATAGACACGTTGAAGCCTTCTGAACCTAGGATGTGAACATTCTGAAGTTTTCGTAGTGAAAACTTATTATGCATCCATCAAAGAAAATTATGAGAAGATGAATAGTGAATGGGGATTTATGTGCTATGGTTAATAGACTGGTAGGGTTAAGATAGTTATAGAAACTTCTGGCTTTCTCATCATTTCTGTTGTCCAGATGAAGAAACTCTGGCATAAAGAAATTAAATGGTCTAGAATCATGCTTTAGGGAAATAGCAAAGACATCATAAAATTCACAGCCTCTGAATTCCCAGACTGTTTCTGTATTCAGGCACACTGCTTCTATTGTTGCTCTGCAATACTTAAAAACAAAATGCCCTGTGTGTACAAGGGAAAGAAAAATATTCACTGGCCACCTAGTGATAAGAAATACATTACAAAGTTGAGGATATTATACCTACATTCCAACAGGCTGGAGGCCATGTCATATGTATGTTTGGGTAGGTGCTAAAAGTGTTAACACAGGTTATTTACATACTTGAATAACCTAATCAAATCTAACACACTGTTTGATACCTCCTCTTGGCCATGCCTACCTTCTCCTTCTTCTAATTCTTACTGCACTTACTGCCCAGATTCAAAAATTAACATGTGTTACAGAGTTAGGCTTGTTCCCCATGTTGTCTCATGTGTGCATGTCTTATTCTACCTAATGTGGTACCCTCAATCCTATCTTCCCTTCTATTGCTATTTCTCCTCCTTTTCCTAATATGTTTCCCCTACCCTACAGAATAAAATGCCTTCCTTTGTCCTTGTTACCATTTCAAGCTTCTGTCCCTTCTCTCCTTATAATGACCCCCAAATATCTCCAAAACTTCTACACTGGTTGCTTCCCCTTGAAATCTGACTCGTAATATTTATGAGATAGCTTTCCAAGATCATTGGTATCCTACCAACTACTAAATTATATAACCTTTTCTCAGCCCTCTTCCTTCTCTGCAGCCTCTCTGCAGTACTTAGCATTACACACCACTTGGTCTATTATTATCCAACTCTAAACTGGCCAGACCAGGGGCTCCTGGGTGTCTCAGGTGGTTGAGTGTCCAACTTTGGCTCAGGTCATGATCTACAGTTCGTGGGTTCAAGCCCCGCATCAGGCTCTCTGCTGACAGCTCAGACCCTGGAGCCTGCTTCAGATTCTATGTTTCCCTCTCTCTCTGTCCCTCCCCTGCTCACACTCTGTCTCTCTCTCCCTCAAAAATAAACATTAAAATTTTTTTAAAAACTGGCCAGACCATTCTCTCTCTCCTGTGCAAGCCAGAAGGAGTAGCTTTAACACCCTAGACCACAGGTTGGCAAATTATGGCCCAAGGGTCAAATCTGCCTCTATGCTTCTAAATAAAGTTTTGCCTGGTCTCAGCCGTGCTCACTTACCTATTGTCTGTGGCTGCTTTCGTGCTACAGAGACCATTTGGCACACAAATCCTAAAATATTTACCATCTTGCCCTTTACAAAAAGACATTGCTGACCCCTTCCCTAGATAATCTTTGAAAACCCGGCTATGGACGAGCCATCCTTCATTGCAGCAATCATATGATATATATACACATATATGTATATATGTATATGTATGTATTATCTATATATATGTATATAACATTTATTTATTTATACTCCATGGCTCATAAATTTTTTCTAGGTAACAGCAGCAGTGGCGCTATTAAAAACTGTGGGCAAAAAAAACCCAAAAAGCAATTGTGGGCACTGTGCTGAGAGCTACCTGTGCTAGATCTCATTTATCTACTATTCTGTCCTCAGAACAAACATATTCTATAGGAACTCTTATTAGACCCTAGAGCTTCCAGGGGTTAGGAAACTTGCCAAAAGTCACAAAACTAGCAAGCCATGGGGTTGGTCCAAACTCAGGTAGCTGCAAAGTAGAGCCTGTGCTAATGGCTATTTCATGCCCTCTACCTCCAGGTTTCCCACTTAACGTCCCTTTCAGCTCAATATTCCAGATCTTCCTAGGCCCACCTTTTATTTATTTATTTTAAAAAAAAATTTTTTTTCAACGTTTTTTATTTATTTTTGGGACAGAGAGAGACAGAGCATGAATGGGGGAGGGGCAGAGAGAGAGGGAGACACAGAATCGGAAACAGGCTCCAGGCTCTGAGCCATCAGCCCAGAGCCCGACGCGGGGCTCGAACTCACAGACCGCGAGATCGTGACCTGGCTGAAGTCGGACGCTTAACCGACTGCGCCACCCAGGCGCCCCCCTAGGCCCACCTTTTAATGCCACAAGGATACAACTCAGAATCTCTGTCACGTGTTCTTGGCTTTCTGCTTTTCCCGTGGGAAGGGAAGCCTGCTTGGGAGCCTGTTTTCAAGCTGTACGAGCATAGCAAGTGTACCATTCCTAGTTAGATCATATATTGTTTAGAGTGGCTTGGGAAGTCGCCGGAGACGACAGGAAAGGGTAGGACCATCCTACTCCTCAGCCAGCATGAAAGACTGAGATTGTGAACTTCCTGAGGGTATGAGCCACATCTTTCATACTGCTCTTCATCACCAAATGAGAGAGATGTTTAAGAAAGAGCTACAAAGGTCTCTCAGGAAGTTCTCTTCTGTATCTTCTCTTATAAACCTCATGTACTATGTGTTTTTTTGTTTTTTAATGATTGTTGGGGCACCTGGGTGGCTCAGTTGGTTAATCATCCAACTTTGGCTCAGGTCATGATCTCACAGTTCGTGGGTTCGAGCCCTACGTCAGGTTCTGTGGTGACAGCTCAGAGCCTGGACCCTGCTTCAGATCTGTGTCTCCCTCTCTCTCTGCCCCTCCCCTGCTCAAGCTCTGTCTCAAAAACAAACATTAAAATTTTTTTTTAATAAAAAAAATGACTGTCTCTAACAGAAGGGCTCTTCCTCAAGACAATCACTGAAAGGCATGCTAACAGCACCTTAAAACGGATACAATATTTTATAGCATATAAATTCATTTAAATACATTTCCTTGTTTAACCTCATTTAAAGGAAAGAGATACAGGTATTAGTATCCCTTAACATATGGGAACATCAAGCTTCCTAAAGGTCTACCAGCAATTTATTTCATGTAGGAAAACAGTAAAGCACAGCACTCAACTTGGTTCATGGATTGGGGGAGGGACACACCATGATTTTAAGAGATTTGTTTAGGAAATAAACACAGTTTACCATACCTGATAAGAGCCCAATAAGTAGCATCAACAACCAGCCAGAAAAAGCATCACTCACACTGTGAATTAAGGCCCATGTTGACTCTTTGCTTTTATTGGTAATCTAGGGAGAAATGAGAAAAAATTGGTATGCTCTACACACACCCTTACTTTTTCACCTTAAAACACACAATAAAGAGGTACAAAGACAAATCTATTCATCAGGAACAGAGACCAATTTGGAGTTACTGCTCAAATAATCCCGGGCTGAACAAACATCACCAAGAACTTGGGAGGCTTAGTGAGCCTTGTCTTACTGAACCCCACCACCTTCATGGACAGTACTGGAGCAATGGCTCCAAGTACCTTAGTCAGGGATTCACCCATTCAGCTGCTAATTTTGTATGCCGTCAATCTGTTTTGCTTATTGCAGTGGTCTCTTTCTGCCATAGACATCAGATATTCTAGGGATGGTTTCTGGATTGTTTTGCAAAGAATCAACAAACACAGACTTATTTCAGTGGTGAAAAGACAACATGAGGCTTGCTACCTAGGGCAGTGCTTCAGGGCTGGCAAGTTCCAGGACTTGCTCCCCTCACTGATCACAGATATTAAATGGTATCAGGGATGCTTCGCTTTATTTTCAAAAATCTGCTGGGAATAGCTGAGACTATCAAGAGGTGCAGAAAGTTTTGCCTTTTAGGCCCTAGCCTTGTCAATTTAGCCCTTCAGTGCCCACATTTATTTCAAAACCAAGTATTCTGACAGCTTTGTCATTGGGCTTCCCCCTTCTCTGAACCTCTATTTCTTATCTTTGAAACTGTGACTTAGCTGCCCCATCTTCATCTACAGTGACATCACAATCACAAATTATTATAAAACTTTTAAAAGCAGTTTCAAAATTCATTTTGACCTGAGACTTTAAGTTTCCACTTTTAGTGCTCAAAGTAGATGAGGTAACATTTTTCAGTGACAGTGTTTCCATTCTGATGATGAGCAGTTAATGCAAAGAAAACAGTCCCTTTTGAACACTTAATAAACACATTCTAATTGATTTTGAATTGTCATTAGTTGGCATAATGTGTCTCAGATGCAGCCATTTTCATATAGTGGGAAAATATGCCCTTGTCATATCATGGGTGACTTTCACAATGTAAATAACATGTTGAATATGCAACTGATGACAAACTGAACTCTGAATTACAGACAGCAAAAATTCTAAAGCCTGAGTGATGAATAGATATGATGGACAGGTATGTGTGTGTTCCCAAATATCAGAAACCTTATGAAAAACATAAGTGTTTCGTAGAGATCCCCTTCTTTAGTTAGGATAGAAAACTCCGTGAGATTATCACAAGTCCAAAGATTACAGAGGAATTTTTCAAAACCTGTACCTGGGACAACCTGACCCCTGGGTTTAAGTGGTCATGAGAAGATCACTCAGGAGCTGGGAATGGCTTAAGAACAAAAAGCAATCTGAACCTGACTGCTCAGGAGACTTGCCTGGCTCTGAGAGAAGGGAATCATGAACTCAGGAGAGAAAGGGACAAGGTAAAAATCAAATTTTAAATTTGGACTCAAAACAGAAATAATACAAAAGGAAAAATAATAGCACCTAAGGTTGAAGAAATGTCTCACCAGGAGATCACCCACTGAATCAGGATCACTGGGGCTGAGGCCCTACCGCTTTCATAAGCTCTCCATGTGGCCCTGACATGAGCTAGAAATTTTGATTCCCTCATTTAAATGATACATAGCAACAAGTTAAAGGCAAATGACCCTGGCAGACTGCTTTAAGAAGTTTTAGTGGTACTCTGAAAAAAGAAAGGTGGGGAACTTCACCAAATTCTAAAGAATCTGGGCCTTAGCCATAAATGCCACCTATTACCTATCATATTAAATTAATATCCTTAAATTGGATCTGATTGGTCTTGGGGGTTTGAGTTGAATGCACACATTTTCTTTTATGGCTGTCTGAGAGCCATAATCGCAAGGACTTTATCCCATATGTTTCAGTAAACACCAAGGCTCTGAATTTTTTTTTCTTTTATTCCTTTAAAGGAAGCCCCCTTTCTTTTCTTAGTTCTAAGAACACTGTTTCAAAGGAAAACCATAAAACAGAAATGAGGCAGAGGAAGAAGATCTTTGAAACTTATTTTGGTCCCCTCCACCAAGTTTGTCTTCACCTCTTTACATAGGCACTTATACCCATTTCAGGGCTGCAAGGATCCTGTTCAACTACTTACTATAGGAAGATAAATCATCATTAATTATAAATTCTTCTTAAAATCATATACAAGATACCCTAAAAATAAAAATAAATTAGAAAATAAAACCCTACATTGCCAATGGAAACCTGAGATTCAGCCACATCCAGGGCTGAAGGAGAGCATACATATAAAGAATTACAGATCTTCAACTTCTTTCCCTGCTGTTTTCTAACACTTACACATGGACCATCTTTCGTCTTACCTCTCGGTGCCTATCCCGGTCTCGAGACTTCTCCCTCACCCAGTCAATTGTATTGAAATCATCATAGGTCCCCACACCAGGGATTGGCTCCTCCAAGAAGTCCATCATCCTATTTGAAGAACCTATTCCTCCACCATTGTATGACTTTTCCTCTGTATTGAACAGGAAATAGACATTAGTACCTCAGACACTAAACATTTTTTGAAAGTTTATTTATTTTGAGAGAGAAAGAGAGAGCAAGCAAGCAGGAGAGGGGCAGAGAGAGAGAGAGAGAGAGAGAGAGAGAGAGAGTCCCAAGCAGGCTCTGCACTGACAGCACCCCCAACCCTTGCCACACAGGGCTCGATCTCACGAAGCATGAGATCAAGACCTGAGCTGAAATCAAGTCAGACACTTAATCGACTGAGCCACCCAGGTGCCCCTGGACACTAAACATTTTAATACCTCCTTTTTGAGTACCAAAAGGTGAGTCCTTAAACTATCAGATGATTATAGTTAGGTTGTGCTGATTAAGCAATATAATCACCTGGTGGGAACATCCACCACATTCGAAAGTTTCTGTGATCTAGGCACAAAATGATGAGTGTCTTAAGGCAGTATGAATGGAAAGGGACAGATGAGCGTGACAGCACAAAGGGAGAACTGACAGGAGTTGAAGCTTAGTGGGAAAGGATTTATGAAACAAAATGCAGGAGATTGGAGCCCCTTAGGTATTTCAGTTTCTGTTACGGAAGGGAGACAAAAGGGTCAAAGATCTTTGTAGACATAGCACATCAGAAACCATTTTACATTTATAAGGCAGTAGTTCAATTCTAAGACGTAGCTTTTGCCTGAGTGGGAGTTCCAAAGAAAGCATGCCAGCCTCTTCAAGAGTTAAGCTGGCTAGAATGTACATATTTCCCTTCAACAGGTAGACTTTGATCCCTAATGTAATGGGCTTACAGAAACTTTTACCGAGTATGTCAGAACAGTCTAAGACTTACAAGTAGAGATTTAAAGACCATTGCATGGCTTGGTGATGAAATGTCTGTCCCTGATCTTTCAATGGAAGAAACATATCCACTTGTCCAACCACAGTCCTTTATCTGCTTTGCTGTTGGTGCTTCTGTTATAATTACTTATGCAAATGTTTTGTCTTCCTTGCTAGACTGGAAGTTCTTTGAGGGCAGCCCCATATCCAAGTCATCATTGCCTTCTCATGTCTAACACATATCCGAGATTCAATAAATATCAGCGGAATCAAGGTTTATTCGCTGAACAGTGGGGATGAGCAAGAAGTATTAAAACTCAGAAGTTGTACACACACAAGGTTACTCAGTACTGCTTGACAAACTTGTTCAAAATATTTCCACCATCCTCTGGTAAAACAGTATTTCACTATTAAACACAAAAAGTAGAACAGTATTCAGGAATTTATGCAAATGCACACTGAGGAAAAATGCAGAGTAATGCTATCATTTAATGCAACCAGCCAAAGCTCACATTTTGCAGCATCAACCTTGGCAGGCACAAAGCTTTACCCAGACTGTTTGGTGATGGATCCCTCTGCAGAGAAGGCCAAAGTAGGCCCAAGCTGCCACCTATTTCCCCACATCTGCATCCCCATCTTCACTCTAAACTCCTACAGACAACTTCAGCACTCTCATAGGGTGAGTGGGAATTAACTCCCAAGTTGTACCTGATTTACAAATTGTTAAGTCTTCCGAATACCTAATTCAGTGTACCTTTTATTGGCAACATACACATTTAAAAGGAAAAGCTCTGCAGAATCTAAATCATATTGAGGGTGGGGGTGGGGCTGGAGTGGAGGAGGTTAACAAGTTAATCTTAAAACCCCTAACCAAAGTCCTTTCCATATCTTCAAGCCTACCTGGCTGTAAAATGGTTGGCTGCTGAATCACCAGCCCAGCATTTCCTATCATGACAGTGGCATACTGATAAAGATTAATGCTGTGTGTTTGAGAGCTTAGACGGAAACAGCCAGCTAGGAAATGAGGGCAGAAAGGAAATAAAGTATGGTGAGAGGGGCAAAAAAAAAGAAAAAAAAAAACCACCAAGCTGTTTCAATTCTCCAGACAAATGCTGACATGAACACAGGACACCCAACAACCAGAAATTTACTTTTTAAAGCAGGTTAATGCTCCAAATGAATTTGCTCTGGTTTAAGGGCTCTCCTTTCAGGAGAAATTTAAAAAGGATTTTGTGAAACTGATTTTTAAAAGCATCCAATAGCTATATAATGTTACACTGTATAGCAAATGAGGCCCCCAGCTCTAAGGATATTAAGACAAAATGAAGATCTGCAACAGCTTCCTAACAGGAAAGAAAGAATCCTATTACATCACTAGGTAACACGAGCACTGCATCCTCCTCCTTTGTAGATAGTCTCCTGTTAGAAACGCAAATTGTCAGGCAGCTCTGAAACAGCAGGCAGTGATTAGAAGCCAACAAGAGACTGCTTGTGATTCTCCAGATCCCCTTCTCCCTGGGGTCACACTTCAGTCCTTGGCTGGGCTCAAGTCTGCTTACCTTCAATCACAGCTTTCTTTTTTTCTGCCTCAAGGAAGAAATAACTTTGGCAGCCAGCATTTGGTCATTTAGGTTGAGGAGCTTTTACAGAAGGAGCCCCGGTATGAACTGCTTTAGAAGGGCACTTGCTGCGTTCTCTGCCTTTCACAGGAACAAACGCCACCTAAAGAACCACCAGTGTTCCCTGCGGTCAGAATGTGATGTCACTGGTGGCGTCACGTGACCAGACCCTTGGACCAGCTTGGAGAAAGGAAGATTTTTAACCGAGCACAGAAGCCTTAAAGATGTAGTCTCATCTAAACGAATGCCATCAAACTGGGTCAGTCGGATATGTTCACAAAACTGGGGTCCAGACAACTTTGAGTCTTTAGACCTTATTTAGCAGAAAATCCAAGAAGGCAAAGGAGGAATAACTGAAAGCATTTAGAGGGATCCTAAGTAAAAAAGGGAGAGGATCAAATATAGAAAAGGCTTTTTAAAGAAATTTCACTGGATGGCAAAAACACAGAGAAAATCTCAGACGTGTAACACTGAAAGATGCCAGACACGAGAGCACATAACATAATTCTATTCATATAAATTCAAAACCAGGCAAACCTAAACTATAGCGTGTTATGATACAAATATAAGTTGCTACATTACAAAGAGAAGCAAGAAAATGACAAAAGTAAAGACAGTAGCTACCCAGAGGAGAGAAGAGGTCACCATCTGGATAGAGTACATGGTGAAGGTGGGGCTCCTGGAATGCTGGTAATTTTTCTTTATCTGATCGGTGGTTAACTGAGTGTTTGTATTATATCATTCTTTAAACTGTACACATGTGTTATATGTCTTTCTATGTATATATGATAATTACAGAAAATTATGAAATATGGAACTGCATGTGAATGTACTCTACAAGCTCAGCTCTTTAATAGCACGTAGTAACTTAAAACTCAGATTACGGTCCAGAAAAGGAGTTGTTTCTTTATATTAGTTCTCTACCCAGCCAGCAAAATCAAATCTGATCTCACTAATCCAAACTGGGGAAAACCAGCTATTTCAGCTGTGAAAATAAATTCACTCTTCTATTTGCATTATTTAAAAGGCTTTCCCTTCCCAGGCCCTATTCCTAAGGCTATTCTTCAGCAGGTCTTAATTAACTGTGCAACAAGGCTGGTCGAGTAAAGAAGAATGAAATCACCGTCTCTCAACTTCCTTAGTGAATCTGCAGGACAGCCGCTGTTAAACATTAATCCAGTCAGTGTGCTCCAATAATCAGACCTAAATGGAGGGCTTCAAATGCTGTGATCATTCTCATCAATTCTTAGGGCCCAAAGCATCCTGAAATGTTATTACAACAAAACCTTACAAAATGTGAGGAACTTCATGAAATCTGTATGCTTTCAGTCTCGTCTGTCATTATCATGACATCTCAGTCCCTTGATGAACTAAACTAGCATTAATGAGAAGAATTAAAATGAAGTGGCAACTGATGGTGTTGTGGCAATGAACTACAAAGCTTAAAAATCAAAAGCTATTTGTGGCTTAAGTGTAATTATGTTATAGAGCTGTACTTTTAGACAAGTGTGTATATCTTACTCAAAGAGAATTGTATGCCCAAACTCATAAGCCTCCTTCAAAGTCATCCTTTATTTTATTTATTATTTATTTGTTTGTTTGTTTGTTTAACTAGGCTTCGTGTCCAGCGTAGAGCCCAATGCAGGGCTTGAACTCAAGACTCTGAGATAGAGACCTGAGCTGAAATCGAGTCAGACGCATAACCGACTAAGCCATCTAGGCGACCCTCAAAGTCATTCTTTATTAAATAGAATCCTACATATAGTTTCTGAAGGCACCTGCAGAATTCACTTACATTATCTGATAAGATTTACATTATCTTACTAGATTATTTTACACTTCAAGATACTATATGTTTTGGTATTTAAAAAATGTATAGTTCCTCAATGTACAATGACTGGATGGTAGAACTGGTACCATGCTAATAACTGATGTAAGTTCATGTATTTTTCAAATGTTACATCACAGCTTCTAGGGGAGTGACTTTATTATTCCATGTAAATTTATTTCCCTTGAAAACTAGGTTTGGTAGCTATGATGCAGTCCTTGTACTAAAATGATATTTAATTACAATTCCCTTTTCTGCCAAATTTGTAATTTCTAGCATATGTTTGTTATACAGACTGCCAGGTGTAGGTTCAATTAATATTACTGTGAAAATAAGGTAAAGAAATGCTGACCAGTTTTTAATGCAGCCTATGGTAAAAACACAATAATAGGGTTAACATTTGGTGACAACAGAGTTATCTTTCTGGGACACAGAGCTGATCAGATCATCTTCTGATTTCAAAAGTGTCAGTGGCTCCTGCAATGTTGTTTTGTTTTTAATTTATTAAAAAAATATTTTTTAATGTTTATCTATTTATGAAAGAGAGAGAGAGAGATGGAGCACGAGCCACAGAGGGGCAGAAAGGGAGGGAAACACCGAATCTGAAGCAGGCTCCAGGCCCTGAGCTGTCAGCACAGAGGCTGACATGGAGCTCAAACCCACAACTGGGAGATCATGACCTGAGCTGAAGTCGGATGCTCAACCGACTGAGCCACCCAGGTGCCCCTGTTTTTT